TTTACTGTAGTTTGCAACGAAACTTTGAGAATACGCTCTTGACAATATCCAAAACTCATCCCTACATCAAAACGCCAACCTCTTCGAAATGCGTTTTCATCGTTCCTCTGAAATTGGATAACTACGGGATAGGGCGTATCTCAAGATAAGCGTTTCCTTACTTCTTATGTATTTTCCAAATTATCTGTTTAGTATAATAAAAAGATAAAGTACTATTTCAAATTTGCTAAATAACTAGAAAGGAGAGGTGTATTCAAAAAAAAATCGCCAAAAATTAACAGTTACAATATAGTGCACTTGTGAACTTTACATCAGCACAGCTACAATACGGTCATAACCTAGTCTCAGCATTTTTCTAAAGCGAAACAGACTGCTATAAATGGCTTACCGTATGTAGTAGCCAATTAAAGTGACGTTTTAGTGAAGTAAGCTGTCATTACAGAAAAATACGAGCTATACTTTTGAGTATTGTTAGAGTGAAGCTTCGCGAACTTAATGTACCTCTAAATGGTATAGGACACGTTTTGTGGTGTTTTATGCGTACAGTAAAGTAAAAGTAGTAGCGAACGAAGTAGAACGAATGACGGATCTATTAGAAATATATAATAATCATAAAATTATAAACTTTTGTAACCATTCGGCTAATTATAAGCAATGAAGTGCAATCGGATCAACATCATTGTGAATCCGTTCGATATAGCGAGAATCTCTATTTCTCTTCTGCGTTATCTAAACTAGCACTCGCACTCCGTTATGGCAACAGTTACATTTATAAGTGCTTGATTGTAGTCAAGACTCATAGACCACTATACGTCTTGGTAATCGGAAGACTGGAAGATAACGTAGAAAAATGAAAAATGTGCGTTAAATCAGTTAAGGAATTATTAAAGTAGTAGCAATCGTAGATCAACTAACTATTCGTACATTAAAAATATAGTCTGATTGGAAGGTAGCTATCAATATTTCTCAATAATGGCCAATCATTGCCGAAGTAAAAATAATGTCACAATTAACGAGTAAAATTGCAAAATTGATGCCTACAGGACGTGTCAAATGTTAAGCTTATGGTTTATTGACCCTACCGTACATACTATTGTAATCTTCACTTCGTCTGACATTACAAATACCTCCACATCGATAAAACGCCGTCATTTTCGATCGGCTTCTCGTGAAGTAACATCATCATTGCCCAGAAAAATGGAAAACTACGGTAAGCGGGCGATGCTACGTTCGTAATCTATTCATATAGATTCTATGTTCTAATGAATTGCTGACACTCATGTTCATTTCGGGATTGTTACTCAGAGTAACAGGCTCAATATACACCATGCAGTAAGTTTATTCCGAAAACCTTGCTCTTAGTACACTGACAACTGTTGATTGAGTCAGTTTTACTGCCATACTAAACACCATACTTGTATACTAACTATATTACCGAGTGGCAGCAAAGTTGGAGCGCGATCGTGTACAGCATACGATTATCATTGCCATAGTGGCATGGACAATACAGTATTAGACACCGTTGAGTTAAAATGACCAACAAAAAAGTCGATCCCGACATCACTATAGCAACGATCGTTTCCAGTCCAGTCCTTATAACTAATCAATTCGTCCTATGCCCAAAATTTCGATATCATTCAAGTACGGTACAGTATTGGCTAGCACCGCAAGATGTCATAGGCGTGAATAAATTATTATTTCCTAATTCTGTCTCATTTTTCTTACATAAGCAGAATAAATAAATAATCCTTACTACTATTATTCACAAACTAGTAAAGATTGACTGCAGAATGATGTAGTACTGTATGTGCAGTTGTAATGTATAGCGTGCATTGTGCTTAAACTCGAGATAATAAAACTTGATGACGTAATTACCCACATTGCATTTCTGTAGTCGATATACTGTACGCTACAGGGTAATTATGTCTCATTGTATCTCACACATTGTATTTTTGTTAATGAAATACAGGGTAATTGATGTATTGTAGCTTACAATCACATCGCATTTCTATCAATGATATATAGGGTAATTGATGTATTGCTGTAACTTACCGTCACATTGCATTTCTATTATTGTTGCGAAGGGTAATTATGTTTCGTTGTAGCTTACAATTACATAGTGAATACTTCTGGTGTCATCGTAGCGTACAAGTAAAGCAAAACTGTCAATCTTTATTTATCATCATGGTAAATTTATAAGAAAAAAATTGTTAACTTTATCATCGTACAACACAGTATATACAGTATATACTGTACTGCAATGTTTATGAAACCATGATTTGTATCACATGACATGATGATTTTACGATTTCTATAAGACCACTATTACAGGGGTGTAGCGAACTCTCTAAAATGGTTGAAAGATGTTTAGCGATGGTGTTGCCTTAAATTATATCTTTAAATTGTGAATGAATATACTTTAAATTTGGCTCAAAGTCCATGCTACCAGATCAGTACAACCTTGAGCAATTCGCTCTTGATATTTTTATTACTCTTTAGCACAGTATTGAATAATTATATTTCTTTACAGTTTCTAATATAAACTATCAGTGACTGTTACATGTACCGTCGCTGCAACCATTTTAAAAGTCTTGCCGAAGTACCTGTCTATAAATGTACTGTAAACGTTGAATGACACTGCGATACTAGGATTGCTTGCGCTATGTTCAAATTAATTAATAAAAAGTGATAAAAAATATATAGGTTTGCCTACGCTTTATTACAAAATACTTCATTGTTCGTTCATTATAGCGTTATTTCGTGGTATTCCTTCAATTAGCAAGAATTTTATCAATCGGGAAAATGGTATTGAATTAACCTACAAATTATTAATAAAGTTTAGTCAAGAAGAAACTGCTCAAGTTATTGTAAACAGGATAGTAGGGAGTGGTAAATCTATCGCCGTTAGCCAAGCTGTCCAACAACTTGTTAATAATGGTAATCGCTACACGAATGACAGCGTCTATTGGATTAAAATAGGTAAGCCTAGCTTAATCTTTAAATTATGTAAATCTATATTCACAAAACTAAGATAAAATGCTTTCGGTTTTTAATTTCTTTGATAATGAAAACGGCTTCAAATAACCAGATAGTGAAGTCCTTGAAAACGATAACGAAAAGAAATCAGGAAGCGATATAGGTAAAGTAAAGAGAAACTGCAATACAATATAGTTATACAGGCGATTTCTACATAACAGCAGCTTCAGTGATACACTATCGTATTATTTAAGTGATGGTTTTTATGTTACAGGAAAGGCAGTAGACGTCTTGATTATATATGCTGAGAGTAAATGTTCGAATATTGCTAGCAATAATAATATCCATTATGCAGCGAACGCGTGCAAATCAGTTAAAAACGGTTTTCTCGAAGCTGAAAAGAATTTACAGCCAATAAATGATAGTGGTATCCATTGTGATTCTATGGATCATAACTATCGAAATTTATCGAAGCCCTGCATTCAAGAAATTGCTAATAAAGAAAATGGTTTCTATCTAATAAATGGTAGAAATTCCGCAGAACATCTTACCTGCACAAATACCAACAATAGTACGAATTATAATGATCTTAGCAATACAGACGATGACAGTGCCCCGGAAGATAGTATCAACACATATTACGATTGCGATACTATGATGAGTAATTTCAACAACCTTCCAGATGGCAATAATGGAACAGAACATCCTATGCAAGAAAATAGCATTGATGAAGTCAGAAATATCAGTACTCGCTATAACCGTTCTATTTCTGTTGATCGTAGCAGTAGTAGCTGTTCGAAATACTATACTCTTCCTGGAAGACTTAAAGATTATAACACTATGAGCAAAGCTTACTCGAATCCTGCAAATAGCAATAACCTTCTAGATGATATTCCACGAGAAAATTGTAGTACCAATGGCAACAAAGGTTTCAATCATATAGATAATAACAGTTCCGTAAAAGATCAAAACCTAGAAAATCGAGTTAATAATATCATGGATAGTAACTGCTTCAATCCTATAGATGGTAGCAATTCTTTAAATGATCATTTACAGGAAATCGAAACTGATACCGAAAATAATAATGTCTTCAATCCTACAGATAGTAGTAATTCCTTAATTGACGATGTCCAAGAACCTGCAGATGATAATACTGCAAATAATAACTGCATCAGTCCTACAAATA